TAGAAAACAGGCATGCATCACTACGGGACAGGAGGCCAGCACTGCTGGATCCCTGGCTCCTTGACAAGAGCCTGACAGGACCCATCCCTGGGGACTGACTCACATCAAAGAAGAGTGATGGGAGAGGCCCTGATGGGAACCCATAACGTGGGGATTAATCCTGAGTGATGACAAATGATCAGAGCTGGGACCAGCTTGGAGGCCTGGAGTGTAACACTGTGAACTATGGAATCTCCTCTTCATCCCCTGGCTAATTCTCCTGGTATCTTCCAAGTAAGCCAAGAGATTATCACCAAAGCTTGTATACAAATTTCCTTTGAAAACTGTACTTTACTTGGTTTGAGTTCCTTCCTGTGAGAACGGACAGGACCCTTCCTGATTTTTTCACATTCCTCTAAGAAAGAACAAATGTTAATGCACTTTAAAGATAACCAGGCATGTATCTATGCCTTGACAAACACAGTGTGGCTTTTGATGTTTCTACTGGAAACTGACAAACATGTTGTGCTACAGACCTTGTTTCTTTCCTTTTACTTGCTGAATATTCTATTTGTGAATAATAATCCAAAAACTTCTACAAAGTCTCTTCGTAGAAACCCAGTCCATCTTCTCTCTGGTTTGCCAATAATACCCGTACCCCACCTCCGGGACCCCAGCACTGCCCCCACCTTCCTCCCCAGAAGCCAAGCCCCTGCCAGCATCCACCTGTGTGGTCAGGACTCTGAGTGCCTGATTAGGAAGGCTGTGGTCCCATCACACGTGAAGGAGCTTAGAGCTACGCCCGTCTCCAGGACCCGATGTGAGCATCAGAGAGGCACGTCTGCAGGACACTCACAGCGTCCCCCGACAATAAGAAAGGCCCTGAGCACCACCCGCCTCCATCACTGCCCCTGATTTCAGAGGCTCAGGCGCCAGGTCCCCCGTCTCTGCCTCCTGTCCTGACCCAGCCCTGCCTCTCAGGGCCCAGGCCCCACACCTGGAGAGTGACTCCTCCTCCCTGGGGATCCTGGAACCTTCCTACTTCCACGTCATCTCAGAGGTGTTTATTCAGTTTCTCACAGAGTCTCTGGCAGTTGGTAGAATCGGCTGTATGATTAGTTTGGAGACTGTGGCATCTATCCATCCATCACTACCTTGTGTCAAGATGGCTGGGAGAAATATCAGTAACCTCAGAAATGCAGATGACACCACCCTTTTGGCAGAAAGTGAAGAACTAAAGAGCCTCTTGATGAAAGTGAAAGAGGAGAGTGAAAAGTTGGCTTAAAGATCAACATTCAAAAAACTAATATCATGGCATCCGGTCCCATCACTTCATGGCAAATAGATGGGGAAACAATAGAAACAGTGGAGAGACTTTATTTTCTTGGGCTCCAAAATCACTGCAGATGGTGATTGCAGCCATGAAATTAAAAGATGCTTGCTCCTTGGAAGAAAAGCTATGACCAACCTAGATAGCACATTAAAAAGCGGAGACGTTACTTTGCCAACAAAGGTCTGTCTAGTCAAGGCTATGGTTTTTCCAGTGGTCATGTATGGATGTGAGAGTTGGACCATAAAGAATCCTGAGCACTGAAGAATTGATGCTTTTGAACTGTCGTGTTGGCAAAGACTTGAGAGTCCCTTGGACTGCAAGGAGATCCAACCAGTCAATCCTAAATAAAACAAGTCCTGAATATTCACTGGAAGGACTGACGCTGAAGCTGAAACTCCAATACTTTGGCCACCTGATGTGAAGAACTAACTCATGGGAAAAGATCCCGATGCTGGAAAAGATTGAAGGCAGGAGGAGAAGGGGACGACAGAGGATGAAGTGGTTGGATGGCATCACCAACTTAATGGACATGAGTTTGAGCAAGCTCCAGGAGTTGAGGAAGGACAGGGAAGCCTGGTGTGCTGTAGTTCACGGGGTCTCAAAGGATGGGACACGACCGAGTGACTGAACAAAACCTTGTGTCAATGCAGGTGTAGACAACGTCCAGCAGTTTAGCGGAGGACCCACCTGGCGGGGACCACACTGGTAGCTGATCCTTGTTCCTGTCCCTGCTCTGTTCCCTGCAAGTGAATCTCTGTTATGAATATTCTCACTTGTAGCCCTCTCTACAAGCCTGAAACTTTCCAAGCTCAAATAAATGAGCATTTTGTCATCTTACATATTGCTGCCCCTGCACCTCAGCTCCCAGTGGATTCTGGTTGCAGGTGACAGAGGAGGGAAACCCCACGGGACCCACCACCGAGTCCCCGGGATCCCACCGCAGCGAGAAGGGGCAACGCCACTCTCTCCCTCTTCCATGCGGCCTCCGCTTCCAGGAACTTCTTAACGTGGAGCCTGCAGTCCATGGATGGACATCAGGTCTGACATGGAGTTTTTTAATTCAATGCAAAGTTGTGTGTTGATGTGCAGATATGTGGACACGTCTGAGGAGACCCAGCAGGATTTCACGGAGAGGCATGCGCACCAGAAATCCTTCAGCACGGGGCTACCGGTCTGGCCCCCGATGCGGAGCACGAAAGGGCGCGGAAGCACTCCTGGGTCTCAGCGGCAGAGGGTGAGCATGAACTGACACACGCCGCCTGACGACACAGGAGCATCTCTCATCACAGGAGACCCTCCTCGTGGGGCAGCTCATCGCTGGGGGGCCTCCAGGAGGGGCAAGGCCCTGCTGTGCTGACGGCTCAGCGGGAAGGTTTCAGGAGCCCGTCCTCACCGGCTCAGGCCTGAGACCACTTTGCAGGATTCTGTGAACCTAAAGACATCAAAGGACCAAAGGGGATGAAGGCTTACGCTAAAGAGCCCCAAGTGAAATAAGTCCTCTCATACCTGGGGAGGGTGCCCACTCAGAGGCGGTTACTGGGGGTCCACCAGACACATTAACACACTTTTCCACGCTCTGGGGGCTGTGACTCCAGCCACAGGGCCTGTGGCTATATTTGAGTTAGAAATAGCAAAATGAAATCACGATATGTATTAATATTATCTTTTAAAAAAAAACCAGTGTTCTATCCCATTGAAAGACCTAGAAAAATGACCAATGCAGGAGCTATGAGCACTCTCGTGCCAAGACTGCTCTGGGACTATCAGTTTATGTCTCTTAAGGGGACCTGAGTCTTCTGGAGAAATGGAAGTACCAAGACGAATCTGGAACACCCTGTTATCCAGAAAGGAACATGACAAAGAAAGGCTACTCAGTCTTACCACGGGAATGAGGCACCAAATTCTAAAAGACTCCCAGGAGACAAACTAGAGACATGTAAACATTAATTTTTCAGTTGGGCTGAAATCTGTGAGTACATAATCATACACAAATATAAATGCAAATAATATGCCAAATGCATAAGCTGTTATGACTCTTAAGAATTTCATCTAAGACTCACAGTATGAGAAATCAATACCAGCAGAAGATACAAAAAAGTAGAGAGGAATCAAGGCACACCACTACAGAAAGCCATCACATCCCAAAAGAAGAGAAAGAGAGAGAAGAAAAAACCTGCAGAACAGCCCGAAATAGACAAGGGGACCAAAGTGTGCCCCTGCGTGCCAACAAGTCCTTGAAATAAATGTAAACGAACTGAAATCCCCACTTAAAAGGCAGAGAAGCTGAAGATGGGAAGAGCAATCAGTCTCAATCAAAACATGATCCAGGAAACAAAAGTGCATTTCCCACACATGGTTGAGCGATACAGTAAATTCAAATATGGCAGAATCGTTTGAAGAGTGACATCATCGATGAAGTGACACAACTACAGAAGTTTGGGAAGTGGAGCACTATGGACACAAACTGACCGTCAGAGACCGTTGCAGACGACAGAGCATCACAAGCCGAGGAGCGGAATCAGGAGGAAGACAGACCCGGGAGGCTCACCGCGCAGGCGGGAGCACAGAGCTCCGACATCGCCAGGGATGGGCGGCTGCCTGGCAGGGGCCGTGAGCACCAGGTTCAGTGTAAGCAGTAAAGACTCGGTGAGCAGGACGGAAGTGTGTTCTTCAAACATAGGAAACTCGCCACAACCTGAAGGAAAATCTGCAAGCTAAGCTGGAAAGAGGACATGTTTCAGGGGAAAACAGATAGAAACTGCTCAGGACTAAGACATAAGATGATTACATGTAGAATTACACAGGTTTTAAGAAATGTTGCAAACACCAGTGCCCCAGTCCCGGGCCCACGGGGCGGGGAGGCTGTGGCTATCTGGTCAGTTTGAGCCCTGTCTCTTGGAAACATCCTAAACCCAGCGATGCAGGAGCAACATCTGCAAACACCTGATGGGAGCAAAGTCGCCCTGAAACAGCACCTGTGGACACAGCCTCCTGCAAGTCCTAGAAATCAGGCTCCATCCCTATGGGACGGGCGGCCAGAACTTCAGGACCCTTGGCTCCTCGACAAGAGCCTGACAGGACCCATCCCTGGGGACTGACTCACATCAAAGAAGAGTGATGGGAGAGGCCCTGATGGGAACCCATAACGTGGGGATTAATCCTGAGTGATGACAATGATGATCAGAGCAGGGACCAGCAACGGATGCTGGGGTGTACACTGTGAACTGCGGAATCTCGTCTTCATCCCCTTGCTAATGCCCCTGGTATCTTCTAAAAGGGACCAGGAGATTACCATCAAATCTGCGTCATAAGTTGCTTTTGAAAGCTGTTTTTCCCTGACTTTGTTTGTGTTATTCCCATCCTGCCACCCTGTTAACGAGGGGCTGGACTCCTCTGATTCCCCCAATTTCCCGCAAGAAAGAAGATCTGGGACACACAGTGTATTTTTTGATGTTTTTTTTGATGTTTTTATTTGAAATTGACATATGTGCTGTGCTACAGATTTTAGTTTTTCCTTTTACTTGCTGAAGATTACATTTTTGAAAATTCAGTCACCTTTGTTTGTATGAACCCAGTGCATCTTCCCTCTGGTACCTAGTTCTCCAGCGTAAGCCCCCACCCCACCTCCAGGTTGTCTTAGCTGTGGACAGCAGCAGTCCCGCATCTTCCTCCCCAGGAGCCAGGCCCTGCCAGCATCCTCCTATGTGGTCCAGGCTCTGAGTGCCTGCCTAGTGGGGCCATGGTCCCATCACACGGAAAGGGGCATAGAGCTACCCCCATCTCCAGGATCCGATGTGAGCACCAGTGAGGCACGTCTGAAGGACACTCAGAGTGTCTCCCGACAATAAGAAAGGCCCCAAGCACCACCCGCCACCATCACTGCCCCTGATGTGTGAGGCTCAGGTGCCAGGTCCCCCCGTCTCTGTCCGCTTGCCTGACCCAGCCCTGCCTCTCAGGGCACAGGCCCACACGTGAAGGCTGACTCTCCCTCTCTGGTGATCCCTGAATTTTCTGCTTCCACATCTTTGCAGCATTATTTGTGCAGTTCTTATATGGCCCTCTGGGAGATGGCAGAATCGGCTGTGTGGTTGGTTTGGAGACAGTGACATCCATTGGCCCATCACTACCTGTGTCAATGCATGCTTAGACAACGTCCAGTAGCTTGGTGGAGGACCAGCAGCGTGGGGCCAGCCTGGTCACCGATGCTTGTTCTTCTGCAGGTTCTGTTCGCTGCAAGTGAATCATTGCTGAGTATTCTCACTTGTATTACTCTCTACCAGTCTGTAACTTACCTTCCTCACATAAATCAGTATTCTGCCATCTTAAAAAAAAAAACGGTTTACCCTGTCCCTTTGCTGTCAATCTATTTTGCATTCAGGTGGTTGAGGACTGAAAACCCCCATGATCGGCCCTCCCAGTCCCATGGGCCGCCCGCCGGAAAGTGCAGAGGAAGTGCTGCTCTCTGCGTGTTCCCCGGCCTCTCTGCTCTTGCATCCTCAGCGGGGAGACTGAGGACCACAGGCTGACCGGGGGTCTTTATAATTCTGCGCAGAGCTGTGTGTTAACATGCAGATGTGTAAATCTGTCTACGGGGAGAAGCATTAGGACTCCAGAGAGGGGATTATATATGCGCTCGAGAGGTACTCTAGAGGGGTGTTTGCAAGGAAGCACTCAGAATGCGTCTACAGGTGAGGTCCCTGATGTGGAGCAGGGGAAGGACTTTAAAACACACGTGCTTCTCCTTCAGAAAGCTAAGATTGCCTAACACGCTGTGTGTAACGCTGCAGGACCTTCTGTGCAGCACAGAAACACCCTCCTCCTGGGGCAGCTCAGACGCTGCTCATCGCTGGGTGGGCATCAGAGGGGCGAGGCCCTGCTGACGGCTCAGCGGGAAGGTTTCGGGAGCCCCCTCCTCACCTGCTCAGGCCTGAGACCCCTTGCAGGGCTCAGTGACCCTGAAGACATCAAAGGGAATGAAAACTGTTGGTCACTCAGTTGTGTCCCCCTCTTTGGGACCCCAGGGACTGCATCCCGCCAGGCTCCTCTGTCCATGGAATTCTCCAGGCAAGAATACTGGAGTGGGTAGCCATTCTCTTCTCCAGGGGATCTTCCCCACCCGGGGATGGAACCTTGGTCTCCCGCATAGCAGGCAGATTCTTTACCTTCTGAGCCACCAGGAAATCCCTAACAAGGGTAAAGGCTTCCTCTAAAGATCCCCAAGGAAACCCCGTCCTCTCACGCCCTGGGGAGGGGGCCCGCCCCGCCCTCTCACGCCCTGGGGAGGGGGCCCGCCAGGGAGGGAGCCCGCCCACAGGCAGTTACTAGGAGTTCTCTGCACACGTTAACACACTGTCTGCACCTGGATACAGCGTTTCTCTCTGTAACTTCAGGGGGATGCGCTGTCTCTGCCTGGGTGAGCCGCCTGCCTGCAGGCCTGAGGGCCGGCTCCTGGGAGGTCCTGCAGCGACATCGTGTGGCCGCAGGAGGAACAGCACGGCACCGGCCCCTCTGAGCTCAGGATTCACATCCGTGCCACACCTGGGACATCCTTATTCTTAAAAATAATTTGTCTATGTGAAACCCAGGCTCCACTGGCCTCCTCAATTTTACCTGCCTACCCTGCCTCCAACCCTAGACACAGAGTGACTGAGTGGCATTTTTTTTTAAGACTCAACTATATGATGCTTTCTACAGAGATTCATTTGAACTTCAAGGACATACACAGGCTAAGAATGAAAGGAAGGAAAAAGATATTCCTTGAAAATGAATATGGAAAGATACACTTACATCAGAGAAAATAGATTTATAAGTGAAAAACTGTAGAGGCAAAATGCCATTATCTAATGGCAAAAGAGTAAATTCATCAAGAGTTTACAACCGTAAATATAGACACACCCAACACTGGAGCAATTAACAGGCCTTAAAGCAGAACTAGACATATATACAATAATGGTAGGGAACTTCAGTACCCCACATGCAGCAATGGATAGATTGTCCAGACATAAAATACATAAGGAAATATGGGGCTTGAATTACACATTATACTTAACAGGTATCTATGTAATGTCTCATCCAATAGAAACACATGGAACATTCTCCACTCTTCACTGTCCTATGTTAGGTCACCAAAAAAGTCTCAATGTATTTAAGACTGAAATAATATCAAGTATCCTTTCTGACCACAATGGCATGAAACTAGAAATCATTAACAGGAAAATAGAAGGGTTCACAAAAATGTGGAAATAAACAAATCATTCCTTACAACCAGTGTGTCAAAGAAAAAGATCAAAAGGGAAATAAATCAATATCTTGAAACAAACAAAAATGGAAACACAACATACCAAAACTCATGGGATGCAGCAAAAGCAGTTCTAGGAGAGACAGTCACACAGTTTGAAGAGCTGTGTCCACCCCCGCCCCCCAGCCCCAGGGTCCTGCACTGAAACCGCAGCATCCCATGTAACGGACAGCTGTGTTCCCCTCCCCACCTCCAGCCCCAGGACCCTACACTGAAGCCCTGGCATCCCATGTAATGGTATTTGGACGCGGAGACTTTGGAAGGTGCTCAGGTCGTGAGAGTGGGCCCCTCGTGAATGGGATTAGTGTTCTGATAAAAGAGACCCCACAGAACTCCCTTACCCCTCCCACCACACGAGGAAACAGCCACATGATGCCCCCAGTGAACCCGGACGCAGGCCCCCACCAGCACGCCGAACGCTCCAGCACCGTCATGGAGCTGCCCATCCCCATAGCTGTGAGGAGCAAGTTTCTGTCGTTTCTATGCCACTCCATTTGCAGTGTTTTGTCATAGCAGCCCAAATGGCCTGAGACAAAGTTTACAGCAATAAACACATAAAGAAAAAAGAAGGGCCTCAAGAAAGGAAACTTTACATCTCAAGGAACTAGAAAAAGAAGGACAAACTAAGTTCCAAGTTAGCAATGGGAAGAAAACAACAGAGGTCAGAGCAGACATAAATAAAACTGAGACTACAAAGCAATAGAAAATATCCATGAGACCAAGAGCTGGGCTTCTGAAAAGAAACAAATTTGATGAACCTTTAGCTAGATTAACTGGAAAAAAGAGAGCGACATAGATAGAAAGAGAAGACTTGACCACAACATTATTAATCGGCTATCCTCCAATGTAAAATTTTTTTATAATTTTTTAAAGAACAAAAGGAAAGCAAGTTATAATAAAATAATGTGTATTTCAATAAAAAAGAGAGAAGATTCAAATAAAATCAGAAATGAAAGAGGGGACATCATAACAGATACCACAGAAATGCACAGATCATACAAGTCTATTATGAACAATTATATACCAATGCCAACTGAAAAAAAAAGAAATAAAAATGCACAAGTTGAGCGCTGTGAGTTAAGCTTTATTTAAGCTATTTCAGTGGCTCTAAGGAGCTGCTCTGCAAAGGTGAGGCGAGCTCAGCGTGTGATTTTGGTGAAGGAGGAGAGCAGCAACCAAGCCTTGGTTGGCAGAAGCATTTTGGCAGAAGGTTGCCACTGGTCACAGGAATCAGATGTCTCAGTTAATGATCTTAGTGCTTTTCTAGATAGGAGAAGAAGCAAGAAACCCAGTCATCAGTTCTTCTCCTGATAAATCTCTCTCTGAAGGCTTGTTCTGCTAGTTTTTTCCCAGAGCACAGAGTGCTTCATTCCTGACCTCCTTTCAGAGAGTGTTGAAGGTCAGTGACTGCGGTGGCCCGTGACCTCATTCTTACAGAACCAGATGGTGAGGGACAATTTTAGTTGGCACCAACAAGTTGGAAAACTCCAATGTGTATTTTTTCAATGCCACCAGGCAATTTTTCTAGTTCTCTGTGGTCACTGACCGGGTATCCCAGAAATTTGACTCAATTCTGTCGTGCACTGTCTGCCTGGAGTTAGCGTCTGACCCCAGGGCTTACTGCTCAGCCCTTCTTCAGCTGCCCACTTTCAACTTCAGACAACAGCATCCAGCCAGGTTGTCAGCGGGGCTTCTAGACTGACTGGAGGCAGGGCAGAGGTTCCGCGTTGGGGCTGACCGATTTGCTGCAGCAGCTCACGGGGTTCCGGGAAACATGTCACCCCCCAGACGACTGCTCCAGCGTGAAAGGATGTGGAGCCGGATGGGAGAGACACACGGGCCAGGCGTGTGCAGGGTGCACGGCTTCCACGTCCCCCGCAGCCGCCCGCTCTCCTTGAGTCTCCACGTGTCCAACAGCCTGGCCACTCACGAACCCTCGCTGCTGAAGAGCTTTTGCAGAGCTGAGTCTGCAGCTCCCCCTTCCCAGATGTCAGCGGGTCAGCCTGAGAGCTCTCTCTGATCACTAGTCTTGCTGATGGCCAGCCCCATCCTGAGACGCTCCAGGGGTCCCATCTGAGTCGCCGGTTAGCAGGCACTCAGGCGCTCAAACGGGGCTTCTAATGAATGACAGGCACTCCCATCACTAAGGAAGTCCCGAGGGCTCCACGGGCTCCGTGCCGGGAGCCAGAGACAATGGTATATTCTCATTAGACACAAGAACCTAGACGAAATAGAGTCCTGGACACACATGACCAAGACTGAATCATGAAGAAACACAAAATCTGAACAGACTGAGTCAAAAAACTCCCAACAAAGGTTCAGCACAGATGGCATCATGAGAGGCAAAAGCAAAAATCAACAAGTGGGACCACATCAATTAAGCAGTTTCTGCACAGCAAGGGAAACCGTCAACAGAGTAAAAAGACAACCTGGGGAATTGAAGAAAATGTTTGCAAATCATTTATCTGATAAGGAGTTAGTATCCAAAACATATAAGGAACTTACACAACTCAGCAGCAAAATACAAACAACTGAATTAAAAATGGGCAGAGAGCATGAACAGATATTTTCCCCAAGACGTACAAATGGCCAACAGGCACAATGCAAAATAGTGCTCAACATCACTAACCATCAATGAGATGCAAGTCAAAACCACAATGAGGTCTCACTTTGCACCTCTCAGAATGGCCATCATCAAGATAAGAGATAAGAAACTTGGTAAGGATGTGGAGGAAAGGGAACCCTTGTATGCTGGTGGAATATAAATTGGTGCAGCCCTCATGGGGTGTAGTACGGAGGTTCCTCAAAAAATTAAAAATAGAACTACCATACAATCTAGCAGGCCATATCTGGAATTGTTTCCGAAAGAAATGAACACAGTATATCAAAGAGCTATACCTGCACTCCCGTGGGCATCAGCATTAAGCACAAC